AGCAGCCCCCCAGCTGCTGGGGGGGCACAGGGTCCAGCCTCCCCCCTCCCTGCCCTGAAGGGTCGCAAAGATGTGGCCGGTGCCTTCCTGGCTTGTCCTCTGGGATCCTCATACCCCAACTTGGCAGACAGGGATGGGGCAGGAGGACAATTTGGACAGCCTGTGGCTGAGCACAAGCCGATGGTGACCCAGCGGGGTGGTCTCAGGGGTCCATTTATAGACAGAAAAACTTTGGAGCAATGTGGAAAATGCTGCTGCTTTGCTCCCGCCAGTGGGTGCTGCTCCCTGCCATGAACCTGGGTTAACAGGCTGGAAATGTGGTTGAATGACTGAGGGAGCACAAGGGGTCCTGTCCTGCTCTCTTTGGAGCGTGGCAGGGCTCAGCTCTGCCTGCAGTGGGAAGATGTGTCCTCACCATGAAATGTGGGTGGCACATCCCTGTCTCTGGTGCTTGGCTGTGCAGTGTGTCCTCTGTGGTCTGGTGGCCCTGGGCACCAGGCTGGGTGCAAGAGATGGGCCAGTGGCCCTGCATGCTGGCCCAGGATGTGACAAATGAGATGTCCCCCATGGGCTGGTGGCATCCCAGAGATTAAAAGTGCTCTTCAAGGGGTGAATCAGGAATGATCCGGGCTGGCAGCATCTCCTGGCACTTCTGAGGGATGGAGCTCCAGACATGGGGACACTCCAGCAGGGGAACTATGCTCCATGCCATCTCGATTTAGTGCCTTTCCACGTGGGCTGGGTCTGGTATGCTGAGCTTCTAATGCAAGGGGTGAAGGAAGCAGCAGGCAGGCGTGGGGTGCCTGGGCAGGTCCTTCCCAGGGCAGTAGGAACCTGTTTCCCCACAAGGCCATCGTGAAGGACCAGCTCCTCCGTAGGATGGAGTTTTGGATGTGCTGGGGCTCCATGGAGGTTTGAGTCCAAATCTGGCCCCACCACATCCTCTGCTGCCAGTTTCATGGGAAAAGCCACCGCTGGGGCATGGCTCACCCAGCACTGTTCCTGCAGGAGGTGATTGTCCCTGAGGGCAAGTGGAGGAAGGTGTCACCCACGTCCCTGTCACTGTCACTGCCAGACACTGACTACCAGTGCATCCACCGGACCTCTGTCAGCAGCCTGAGTGCCAAGGAGAGCTCCTGCACTTCTGAGGAGCCCTTGGTTTCAGGTGAGGGCTACGTCTGACCTGGGGACACAGGGCTGTGCCCTGCACACGGGGCTGGATGGAAACCTCCATCAACACGTGTTCATCCACCCTCTGCCCTCCGGGAGGGGACTTTTGCCTTGCAGCCAAGCAGGGTTGAGGCTTGGAGGCAGTCAGGAGGTCCTGGGGATGGGGGCTCTACCTGTGGGTTCTGAGCCCTCAGTGTGTGTCTGTAACACCACACAGGCAGCCTTAGTCGATGGGGAGGAATATTTCATGCTTGAAGGCTTCCAGTTGCTGGAGGAGCATGAGCATCTGCCCAGTGTCACTTTGCCACTGACTCTGCACTTGCATTTCAGAAAGTGCAATAAACACTGAGGAGGAGCTGGAGGTGGAGCAGAGCTGCGTGGCGGAGCTGAGACCCTCTGACTACCAGCTCCTGAAGATCTTCATCGTGCTGTAAGTGTGCTGAGGGCACCTGTGGTGTGGGGAGGACAGGGGTTAGGCCAAGAACATCCATCTAGACCACTGACCACTGAGCACTCGTCCTTGTTCCTCTGCTCCCAGCATCTGCCTCCTGGTCGTGTCCTCCTCCTACCTGGCGTTTCGCATCTTCCGCCTGGAGCAGCAGCTTTGCTCTCTGAACAGGGACTACCTCTCCCGCGGGCACAGGAGGTGAGGGACCCTCGGGGACACCTTGGGGTAGGTGGGGCACACCATGAGTGGAGGACCTGAGAGGATGTGGTGCAAAGAGCAACAGCTCTGCTCTGTGATGTGTCCCAGGGATGCTTTGTTCCTTACTCTGTGTCCCTTATCTTATTGGGATGGCTAAAGGCAGACCCCAGAGTGCCGTCCCCATGCCATAGATGACCCCATCAACTGCTTTCCCTGAGACTTTCCACCCTTGGGAAGAAGTTTCTATTGTGTTTGGGGCTGGTTCCCCAGTTGCAGGAAGCACCAGGGCATCTCTGTGCAGCTGGGCTGCACCTTGGGGCTAACGCAGCCAGGAGCATCAACAAGGGATGGAAGGGAGTGGGTTGCCATGGGTTGGGGACATCAGGGATCTGCCTCCTTGTGCCCATGGGCTGGGTTATGGTGCCTCCATGGCCACTTGCCCCATCTCACCCCTCTCTCTGCCCTCAGGTGACCATCACCCCCAACACAGACTGCGACGGTGGCCCCCTGTGTACAGACCCCAGTGCTGCGTCCTCCCACCGCGGCTGTTACATGTGGCCTGGCTTTCCCACGGCTGGTAAAATGGGACCAAGTATCTTCTCCCTGCTGGCACCCGCTTCCTGTGGGACTGCCCAGCTGGCTCATGGCCACCAGTGCCAACTCCCCCTCCTGCTGGAAACCCGTTTTGTCCCCGGGATGCTGCTGTGCTCTAGCACCAGATGATGGCTCGGGGCTGCCGAGCGGTTGGACCTCCCCTTAGGACTTGCTGCTAAAACGGGTGCCAGTTTTTATTCCAGACTTGGATTTTCCGTGTTAAAAGATGGCCTTAGGCTGACAGGAAGCGCCAGGAAATGGGGATGATTTGCTGCTGCTGCTCTGGGTGAAGCCCAGGCAGCAGCTCTGGCTTGAATCTGCCTGTTTGTCCCACTTTTGGTGGCCCTGGGACCATGGCCAGAGGGACAGCCCCAACCCCTGGGATCTGCAGGAACGGGGAGAAAGGAGCCACCAGCCCTGTGGGGTGTCACATATCCCAGCACCCAAGGTGGGAGTACAATCGAGAGACCCCCCAGCCCTCCTCTCCTGGAGCACTGGGGCCTCAGAGCATTTGGGGGAGGGGTGGCATGTCCCTGCAAAGCACTTTAGGGTCCCCCAGACCAGACGTCCTCCCTGGGGACCACACTGGGAAGGGTGCCAGACCAGGGCTTCGTTAGGGCTGCTTGCCTCATTAAGACGTCTGGAAAGAGCCCGTGGTTGGTGCTGGTGAACGTCCTGGATTGCAACGTGTTTGTGCCCTGGTTCCCGTTCACCTTGTCACCGCCTGGAGCCGAGTGCCACAGGATTTATCCCGCAGGATTTATCCCACAGCCTCCCCGGGGAGCGTGCTTGGGCAGCAGGTGATGATACCTGTGAGATTTATTTTGGTTTTCTTTCCAATTTTTTTTTGGGAACTACAAGTGCTGATGGGGCCAAATCCCGGTGCCCTGGGGAGGAGCTCCCAGGCTCGGAACGGCTTTTACATGAAAATAAATCCAGGATTTTCTAGCACGGACTTGTCTGCTGCCAAATGGGGTAGCCCCAAATCTGGGCTGTCTCGGTGCCCCTGCACTGTCCATGTCCTCAGGATGTGGGTTTCATGGGGACTGCCCTTGCATGGGCTTGGAGATGGGTGGTATCACCTTGCTGTCACACTGGGGCAGCGCTGGAGGACCTGGGGCGGTGTGGCCCCTGGTGTCACACCCTCTAGAGCAGGACAGGAGGGAGGCTGGTGGGTGCTCAGCATCATTTTTCCCACACTGTGTCACCCTGCCCATGCCAGGAGGGGATACCGGGCTGGGGATGCAGCCCTGGCTGAGGCAGCAGCACCAGAGGTGGTGGCTTTTGGAGGACACCTGGGGTTAGGGGTGATCTGGGTGTAGGGGATGGGAGGTTTTTTCACTAGATGGCAGCAGAGACTGCGGGAAGTGACGTTCAGGCTGGTGGCAGGGCCACCCTGGGGACAGCAGATGCCTGGGCAGGGTACTGAGCTGCAGCCCCAGCCTGCTGGGGTGGACAGGGTGACCCTTCCTCCTTATTCTCTTCCTCCCTCAGCATTTGCAACCCAAATTCCCTCCCCACCAGCCTGGCCCATGCAGCAAAACGCATGAAATTGGAAGAAATGCATGAAAACGGCCCAATGAAAGCCACAGCAGAGGTGGTGTTGCCTAAACAGGGACTTGAGGTGGTGTCACTCCAGGTATTCAGGATATTTAGCACCCTGAGATGCCAGGAGAACTTCACAGAAGCCCAGGGAGGCCCCACTTTGGTTTGTGGGGATCCCTGCTGCCAGGAGCAGGTTGTAAGGCTCTGGTTTTGTGTTCTAGCCAGTGTTTGCTTTCCCGGCACCGCCCTGCTTGAGCTTATTTGCTCTTCTTTGTGTAAAGAAATGCCACGTAAAGGTCTTGGGTGCAGGAAACGTCCCTGGGTGCTCACCTTGCTGTGCTCTGGATGAGCACAGCCCCTGCCCTCCAGTCTTCCCAGTGCTTTCCTGGTCAGACCCACAGTCTCACCTTCCTGCCTCCCCTCCACCCATGCTCCTTCCCACCCAAATGATGCTCACAAGGACATAGTTTGGTTTGAGTTTTATTCCAGGGCCGGGAGCCTCCCGCGGTGGCCGCGGTGCCAGTCACTCCAGCAAAGCCCCGTGCCTCCTGGGCACACAGCTCGATGCCATTTCAGCTCCATCCCAGCTGTGGAAGGGGTTTTCCAGGGAGGGCTGGTGCTGGAAGGATGCCCTGGCCTGCTGCCTGCTCTCCCATCCAGGCAGCCTGGGAAGGAGGGGAATGATCCAAACCCTCGCTGTGCTCCTCTGCTGCCTGTGCGTGTTTGCTTGGGTGTTTTGGGAGAGCCTGGGCTGCTGAGGGAAATTTAAGCCCTTCCTACAGTTGATCACCAGGTGGACACACCGGTGGGGCTGGGCTGCCGGTAAGATGAGTGAAGAGAATAATCCTCACCCTTTTTCTTTTCCAAGGGTTACATTTAAGCTGGATTTCCCAGCTCCAGTTGGGCACTGGGGTGTGGTTGCTCTGCTAGACACCACCTGAGCAACCTCCTCCTTGCTTCTCATCAGGGTAGAGATTATTCCTTATCCTGCAACGACATCTGTTTCATTTTTATTTTCCTCACTGCTAAGCCTGTTTTTTAACAAGAGGATCTGATCTGAGATCCTGGCCATCATCCAGAGCAGGAGAAGTGTTTCAATTAGAAGTGTATTAAGGATTTCTTGAGCTTCAATGAGATGGCAGTTATCTTTGGCTTTTATACTTCAAACTCTGTCCTTTTGTTCTCTCTGGTGTGGTTTTTTTTTTCACTTGAGTAACAGAACTGGTTTTGTGCTAGAGGAACCAGCGACCGCCTCGTACACTCCTAGCACGGCAAACACTAATGAGGGTTGGGAAGTGCTGATGAGCCCAAATGGAGACAGCCTAAAATCATAATGAAAAGAAAACCCTTCAAAGAGTGAGTGTCACTTTTCATCTCCATGAAGTTTCTTTTCCTGGGACTGGGTTTCTCAGCTTCTTGTTTCCTTTGCAGTCTCATCTTTAGACATTGATATCTCAGCGTCAGGCTTTTGGGGCTAAAAAATGCTTGCTGCTTAATCCCAGGCTGCTCCAGTGACACCAGTGGGAGGCACAAATTAGAAATAAGCCCTCTTGGGGGCTTGGTGTTCATAGGGCATTTGCTAAGCCTGGCTTGGAATTGGCCTGTAGCCAATTAAAGCCACCTAACAAGTATGTTGCCTGCTGGGCAAAGGCAGCAAAGTCTCTTTTAGCAACTCATTTTGCCACAGTGATTAGTGTAAAAATTTACCATGGAGAGGAGGATTTATTTGAAAGCAAAGTGACACTTCTGGTTAGAAGTTTCAAGGCCAATGATTTCCAGAGGGGACTAAGGCTCCTCCAGGAGGGAACAGGGGATTTGGGGGGGTGTAGCCATGCTGGAGGGATTACATTCTTCTTCTTTGGGATGATCCTGCATATGGGCATCTCCCTCAGACACTGGGGGTGCTGCCTCACAGACAGGGAAGGCAGTTTGAGGGGGGGCTGGAGCTGCATCTCCATCACTTCTGTGCCAGTCTGGTGATGAGAGCTTTCCACTCGGACCTCTTCTGCGTGACGTAGGAGGGGGTGAGGAGCTGCAGCAAAGGCTCTGGCCGGCCCCTGATGTATCCCTGACACACAGCCTCTGCATTGCAGATCACATACATCCCACAGTCATAGCTGTTCTGCTGGGCAGGTGCCTTCTCCTCCACAAAGGTGGTTTTGCCCCCTCTATTGTCCAAGAAGGCCTCCAGCTTCCCTGCCGCTTGCTTGGCATGGACAGAGTTGCATTTACTGTGGGAATCATAATGGGCAAAGCACTTTTTGTCCCTGAAATAGACCAGTAAGCTCCAGTGGGTGCCCCCAGCAGCCTGGTTGGAGTTGTCATTGATAGGCAAGAACACCAGCTTCTTGTGGAGAAGGTCCAGTGGTTGAAGGAATATGGCTATTTCTTCCTGACTAAGGGCACATTTGATGAACTGAGCCACCTCGGGGCTGATGAAACAAACCTGATCACTAAACTCTTGGAACTGGTGGTTGGTGAAATACTCGAAGGCAAACCCGATGATGTGGTCGTTAAGCCAGTTTGGGGGGTCCAGCAAGGAGACATCTGACTGCCTCAGCAAACTGTCCATGTAGCTGAGAACCACAGGGTCCATCCTGCGCAGGTCGGGGCCACAACACTCCAGGAGACTTCAAAAGCTGAAACATAGAAAGGGAAGATAAATCAAGGAATTAGATGACACCTGAGACAAGACAGAGTGCAACAAACATCCTGAGTTCGTTCTCAGCAAAGGCCCAGGTTCCCCAGACAGGTATTTACAGCATTTGAACCACCTGCCAGGTGAGCAGACAGAGCACACACAGCTCCTGTGACAGGTTGAGCTGGAGCTGTTGCTGGAAGAGCAGCGCACGGCTCCGATGAGATAAACACTTCATCATTATCATCTTAATCTCAGAGCAAAGTGGTTTCAAAGCAGTTCCTGCCCGGGAACCTCGGGCACACCTTCAGTCCTGGCTGTGCAGGGAAATCACGTGGGATCTGGGTCAGTTGGTCAGTGCTTTGGTGTTTGACCTGCACAGTGACAATCACTGCATCATTGGTGCTCCTGAAATAAAACCTCTGGGGGCTGCGAAAGGCACAGGGTCCCTCTTGCCTAGCAGAGCGTGCCACAGCTTTGTGCCAGACTCATGACCTGTTCCAGGAAAACCTGCTGGCCCACCAGCACAGGAGGCAAGGCAGGGATGAGTAAGGAGAAACAAAGCAAAGCAAGACCACAAACCAGCCTGTTCCCTACCCTGGGAACCTTCAGGACAACTCTCTGCCTCACTGAAAGAAATTTCAACAACTCAGGTACCACCAAAGCTGCACAGTCTGCAAAGTACCTGTTGTTTTGAGCTCAGGTTTTAACTTGCCAAAGTTTTGCTATCAAAACAATAAAGCACTCACAGGTAAGCTGGGGGGCATCTCTGCAGACTTCCACCCCTGAGAAGTCCACCTGTGAGCAGAAGTGACTGGTCATGCCAATCCATCCTTTTCAGTCTTTTACTCTGTTTTTTGTCCAAGCTATGTTCTTGCTTCTTAACCTGTGCCTCCCTTCCACAAACACAGGCTGCTTATCCTTAAAAAGTCACCTGAAAATTCAAGTAGACTGTAGCACCTGCTTCTCCCCACCCACATGTTTGAGGACATCCTCAAGGGACTTCACCAGGTCTTCCAGGCAAGACTTCTCCCAACTGCTTTTTTTTGACCACATTTTCATTGTATCCACTAATTCTGCTCTTTCTACCACTCATATAATTCTTTTTCAAAAGCTCTTCCATTTGTTGTCTTTCCATTCTGTGGGGATTAAAGTGTTTTAAAAAAAGAGATTCTAACACAAAATACTTGCTGGCACCAGACTAGGCTTGAGGAGACCTTCTCAAGAGAAATGCTTGATTTAAACCCCCTCTACCTCCCCTGGTTTTACTTTTGCTCTTTAATCCCCTGGCCCCGGGCTCCTCAGCTCCCACCAGGTCTCTCCATTTCCAAGGCTGGAAATACCACAGCTGGGGACAGTGGTGATGTGGAGCTGCTTTGGCCTCACCCTTTCCTCATCTGTGCCAAAACATCTTTGGATTTCTTAAAGCACCAAGTGAAAACTAATCATGATAAGATCACTTTAATATGATTCACTATAAGCAAGATACTAATTATCCACTATGATAGGGGAAATAAAAAAAAAAATAAATCAAGTGTTGTGCTGTTAACATGTGAAGGAGAAGTAGATTTGTGCTTTATTGTGATGTGAATCATGAAAAAAAAATCCTTCCTACTCAGGTATGCATAAATTAAGAGATTTATCTCTCAAAAATCTTGGCAAGGTCACAGGGCCTGTGACTTGTAAATAACAGAAGGGATGAAACATGCTGCCTGTGGAACGGGTTGGAAGGAAGGGCTGAGGTAGAGGATCTGGGGCTTGAAAAAGCTAATTACTATTTGTGTGTGGCTGAGGAATCCAGGAGATGCCAAGCAGCAAGAGTCACTGCAAAGGAAGGGGAGCAGTCCTTGGTATTTACACTGAGCCAAGCACAATGGTATTTGGACACACTTCCTACATGAATGAGCTCCAACTACTTCCAAGTTTGTGGAACAAATCCTTCCCAACAGCCTGCAGTGTAAAAACAAAACAAAAAAGTTAGACCAAGTCCCAGCAACCGGGTGAATATATTCCTGTTGAGCCACACATCCTCTGAGCTGGGGAGGTTAGCAGGGTCACTGCTGAAATTATTTTTCCACCTGCCCGTGTGGTTCTAAAAAAAAATTTCATTTACTGTGTGTTTTTTCTGCTTCATCTTCCTGAGATGCATGAAATGCAGCAAGTAAGTCCAAATGGGACTATGGGTGAGGGAGGGAAGCACATGCCCTGTATTCTCTTAACTTTCCACTCTGCAGAAACGTCGTTTGTGGGTTTTTTGGTCATAAGGAAAAAAAATAAATAAAAAGAGATTTGGCAGCTTCCTACAGTCAGGAAGGGAGAATGGTTATAGCAAATGCTTAATTGCCACTAGCTACTACTTTTAATTTTATTGCCATCTGGCATTTGTGAAACTGCCTGTGAGTTCTGCAGGATGACTCACCCCGCGCAGCTTAAAGGAAAACCCTTTGCAGGCTCAGACGTTCCTCAGAGCCACTTAAGGTCAGTGGAGCCCTGAAAAGCCACCAGGGAGGTTCTTTTGTTTGGGAGAACCTCCCAAACATGAGGATGAATCCTCAGAGAAGCCAGGAGGTGGATCTGAGCACCTTTGAGGTGAAGGGGTGTTGAAATCCTGGTGCCAATGGCGAGAGCGCGGCTCAGACACAGGATTGGCTTCCTGGAGGCTCCAGCACACTCTGTTCAGAAGTTTTCATAAAAATAGGAATAAATAATGACACAGGCCTGAAATATTTGTTGGAGGTTGCCAGCAAGAGTCTTGCTCCTTCCTTTTATTTGTGCATTAGTAGTTGGAATTTGAAACTCCCTAGTAATTGAGTGTCAATAGGCAGCGATGGAGCTGAGAGCCTAAATTAAGGATGAATCAGATTCCTAAAGTCTATTTTTAATAAATTACAGGTGCTAAGAACATCCAGAGTGAATATTTTAAGGTGCCACGCCACTAAACTCCTGTAGCAAATGTAAAGAATATGGAGGTAAATACAAAGAAGCCACCTGAAAGACAAATTATTCAGACTTTACTAGGGAATAGTTGGAGGGACAGAGAAGTTTTTGACTTTGGAACTACCGAGAGTGAGAGGCCAAATGATTTAACCACCAGAGCATGCCTGGAAAACAGGTTTCAGACAGTGTCAGTGCTCTGAATGTAGCAAGATCAGAGAAGAACCATCAGTTTCTATTTACCAGCATGAGCTGAATGGGGGTCCTAGGGCCTGAGTTCCCATCCTTACTGGTCTCCTAACAGAGCCAGAGAAGAAACTCAAGCAAAATGAAACAACTAAGCAAGAAAAGAAGCTCACTTGCTTACTCTTTTTGTTAAATATAAGCAATTTCTTTGTAGCCTATAGATTACAGTTCCTGTATGATACAGAGCAGAGTCTTTGCGGGTTCAATGAGCCCTGAACGCCCAAGTCAGAAGAAAAGATTCATCATTTCTGTAGGCACAACACCCAAACCTTTCAATTCCTAACGAATTCCCCAGGCAACACACAAAGCAACCCACCTCCAGCACCCAGCTTTGTCAGCAGCATCTCCTGGGGCAGGAGACTAAAACCTGGAGGAACTAAATCCAATGCTAGTAAATAAAATGCACAAATTCACGTTTTGGTCCCCAGGGTGGGGTTGACCCAAGCATTAGGTTTAAGAGGAATAAACCCCATCAACCTGAATGCCAAAGGAGGAGAGATGTCCCTGAGCCTCTCCCTGAGGAAAGGACAGCAAAGCCCCTCAGCTCAGGTCCTGGAAACAGCATCAAACCAGGCCTGGATGGACAGCAGTCACCTGCTTTCAGAAAGAGTTTCTTCAGGAGAGCAGTGGGAAGTGCTGGGAGGGTAAATCGGTAGCCTGGAAGACCTAAAGGCAGCAG